AGTCAGGGTGTGCATTTCCTTTGCTTAGAGTTTATTCTCTTTTCTATATTTTTGTTCTACTAGCAAGAGATATTCCTACAAGGTCCTCTTTCTGGGACACAGAGACTGACCTAAACCTTTTAGGCCACTCCTGTGAATTTTCTGATTGCCTCGTTCGAACATGTCCCGTTGCCAGTCTGCTCCACTGCTGAGACATCAATCCCAAGCACAGAAGGAGGAGAGTCCCCAGGGAATCACCTATACATTCTCTCAGGCATCACGGACAGCTCTTTTCTGGAAGTGGATTCATTTTCTGCTGAGTTATTCAGTGCTGCGGGGGTCCAGAGAGAAGAAAAGCTACTAACATTTCTAGGTAAAGCCAAGCCAAGGCCCTAGTTCCCTAACGATAGATCCAAAAAAACAACATCTAAGATATTAAATAGGCAACACCAATATTGCATTCAAGCACTCTGCCAAAATTAAACCCTGTTACAGAAACCTAAAGAGAAGAAACTTAGCTGAACTGATCACTAAGAATAACAAGAACTAATGCTCATGAGGAGCTGATTAACATGTATATGCATCAAACTACCTTACTGATTGATCAGAGTTACTATGTAGAGTTCAGAATCTCTGTGTGAGGATGACTTTGTGTAATTATTTCGTTAATTAAAAGAGATTTGTGTGTGTGGTGGGGGAGAAGTGAAGAAATCTACCTGTGGGTTTGGAACTATTCAGTTTCCTTCCACTTTGCAACAGAAACCTAAGGAGAAATCACGGCGCAGCACAATAATGTTTAATTAGAGCTCTGGCTCTGATAATTACCGTTTGGTCACATCCATAATCTACATTAAGCCACAGTGCATAATAAGCAGCTCTGTGATAATTTATCTAATAACCTAGGTGGCTTTACAGGATTTCATATTCTCCTATTCATTGGAACAAACAAAGCTTCATTTATCACTCTCCAGGAGAGAATAAAAATCAGAAAAGGACTCATTTTGCCATCTTTGCCATATACTTAGGATATAAGAGCAGGGATTGTCAGGAGATTGATGCTAGCAGGGAAAATAAGGAGTAGGCATATAAAAAGTTACGATAATTAAGCACCTTAACAACCAGGGCAACGAAAGCTGGGCCAGTTCTCACTCTGAAATGCTAAGTGCCATCAAGGCATCTGGGGCTCTTTGAATGGGGAGGTGAAGAACAAAACCAAAAACCTGAAAAGAGAGAGAATTTAAAAGTGGGAATCTCTTAAGTCTCCCAACAATTTATGTCCTTTATCTTTTAATGGTATTTCTTTTCAACTCACCTTTAGATATTAGCACCTATCAGGGATATGAGTGCTGATAGGCAGGTGACATGAACTGCGGACTAGAGACAATAAAGAAAGGCCAGAGTCATTAATCTCCCCACAAGAAGTAACCATACACCGATTTCAGCTGCTTCCCACACATGAGAGGCACTGCTGGAGGAATAATTTCAAGGCTGCAACAGAATTTTTGGGGTAGAGAATTCAGTGAAGGAATATTTGGTTCACACCCTTCCCTCTCCTCTATACAAACATGAGTCTGACATCTTCACCTTCACAGTCAAAAGGCAGAAAGGAAGCAGGTTCTCCTGATAACTGCAGTAGCTCTAAGAAACCCCTCTTTCATCCAAGAAGGAAAGATAACGGGGGGACAGTGGTTAGACGAACATTCATACTTATTCAGAATTATCAGATAAGATCATGTAGAAAGTGGAATGTCATCAATATACTAAATACTATATTAATAAGATGTTGTCTTTCTTCAATAACGGCAAAGGTCCTCCAAGATTTTACAGTGACTCAGCATCGACGACACTAACAGTGATACAGATTCCTGATTCATGGACGAATATGTAAACACTCCCCTGACACATTATGTAAAACCTGACTTGCCCACGAAGTTTTCATTGTGGATTATTAAAAAGAGTAGTATTTTAAAAATCACATTTATTAACTTATTATGTTATTGGTCTCTGAAATTAAAATAGAGGAAAATATCCTCAGTTATTTGAACTGCTTCATGTTGACTGGGATTTTGAAACAAAATAAGTTTACACTGTATTTTTTAAAATAATTAAGGATTATTTTTGCTTATTCTGAAAATCAACAATTCCTTGTTTTGAGAGGCTGGCAGGTAGAAATCAAGGAATACCTGAAGTAAAGGGGGACATCTAAATCCCTCCTTTCCACAAAGCTCTTGTCAGAATGCAACAAAATATCTGAAGTAAATCCTCAAACAAATCGGTCCCTTTCAAACACGAAGTACTCTTTGCACCAAGGCTGGCTTTTACCAGTTCCGGGCCTGGGGGCAGGCCAGCAAAATGGCCCAAGACACCGGGAGACCTGCCTCCGTCTGCCTCCGCCTGCCCGCTGCCTGTTAGGCCCAGTAACTGAAAGAGCTGTGGGCGGTACTTGAACCCATGAGGTAAATTCTCAGTGAGTCACCAGGTAGGGACAAGTGGTGCTCACCAAGATCACCTAAGGGCCAGTCTTGGTGCCTGTGCTAGATCTGAGGCTGCTCAGCAAATGTTCCAGGGTGTACCTTTGTGGTGGGGTGAGGTCTCAGGGAAGTGTCAAGGTGAGGCCAACAGAGTTTATCAGGCCCAAACAGACCAAGATTTGGCTGTGTGAGGGGAGAACTCTGCACAGTCTGGGCATGCAAGGGAAAAATGTCCCCTGTCCTGTAGCCACACAACTAAGTCCATTCCAGATTTTTCTCAGAGCCTTCTTTGACCTTCCCTCTACTTTAAAAACAAAACAAAAAAAATAAAGGACAGAAGGAAGGATGGATGGAAGGAAAGGAAGTGAGGGAGGAAGGAAGGGAAAAGAAAAGAAAAAAAGAAAAGAAAAGAAAGGAAGGAGGGAGGGAAGGAGGAAAGGGAAGGAAAGGAAGGAAGGAAGGAAGGAAGGAAGGGAGGGAGGGAGGGAGGGAGGGAGGGAGGGAGGGAGGGAGGAAGGAAGGAAGGAAGGAAGGAAGGAAGGAAGGAAGGAAGTCCTTCCAAAGCTGGTTTGCTGAGCTTACAGATTTCACTCAGGCCACTTGGAAGAAGAATTTGATTGTAACTCTGGTTAATTTCCAAGACATCTTGTAGCAGAAGGCAAAGAGGAAAAAGAAGAAAAAAGGCATGGTAGCTGGCACCATAACCAGACATCAAACAGTTCTTAAAAAGCTACATATTCTATTCACAGAAAACTTACTTTAGCACTCCATTCAAACCAGTCTGCACCTGGTCAGGATCAGCAGTGAAGGCTAAGTGTGCACTAGAAAATTTAAGTACAGTGAACGTATCATTTGAAGACTACAGACTAACTATAGGGTGTTGTGCTGCAGTGATCTCCATATAGTCTCAGGCTTAGACCCTGAAGACCTCTTCTGGTAAAGAGGGGGTAGTGAATCAAAGCACCCTAAATATTCAAGCCCATCTAAATTCCCAGTGTGTGGGAATGGATTGATTATGCAGGAAATTTAACAAAGGGAAAAAAAAATCTCATAAACGAAATCAATGCACAACACAAATCACATGGCAGTGTCCATTACTGTGGCAAAGGTTTTGCTAAATGAAGCATCTATTCTGCTCTTCTAGTCTTCTCTGTCTACAGTCTCCTGCCTGCTTGAAATTCACGTTTTCCTTCCGCAAAACTATTAACTTTGAAGCTGATGAGTGATGAAAGGGACCTAAGTACTATCTCTGCAACTAATTTTTTCCCCCTACGGAAGGTTGATGATGATCTTTACCATTCCTGTATTGTTCCCAGGAAAGTGCTGGAATTAGCTTCTCAAGAATAAAGAATCTGTGAAAAATTCATTCGCTGGCTGCAATTACTTCCTCTGCTGAGCATACTTTTTACCTCCTTTCACACACTCATTTCCTAAAAAGCCAGGGCTGGAGCTTTTCATTGCTATTCCATTCTCTTACCCCGGAGGACAAAAAAACAAACAAACACACAAAAAATAACCCACAAATCAAATAAGGTAAACACAACAGAAAACTGAAGCCTGTTTTTGAATTATTCAGAAACACAGATATTGGAAGAAAAGTCTCAATTTACTTATAACATAAATGGATCAAACTGTACTAAAAACATAATCATCATTCATACTGACGGTCCTATGAGAAAACATAAGAATTCTAAATTGAGACATCACAAACCACATCTTGCTCTCCAGTACCTTGGGAAAGAGAAATGGGAATGATGCTTCCTGCTTTAGCCAGCTGTTCTTCAATTTTTTGGTCTTGAGAAATCTTTGGAGTCTTAAAAATTGAGAAACTTTTATAGAATTATTATTTATATAGACTGTATGTACTGGTATTTACCATATTATAAATTAAAACAAATATTTTAATATTTATAGTTAACTCACTGAAAACAACTAACAATTTTGAAATGATAAAATTAGAGAGAGAGAATAGGTTAATAATGGCCAGGGGTATGGGATGCAGATAAGCTTAGGATAGGGCCACACAAGGGATCCTGGTAGCGATGGAACTGTTCTATATCTCGACTATGTGTAAATACCCAAACCTACACGTGATAAAATTGCACAGAACACACATATACACACTCCAGTACAACTAAAATGGGGGAAATCTGAACAAGATAGGTGGATTGCATCAATGTCAATATCTCCGCTGTGAGCCCTGGCTGGTAAGGCTCAGTGGATTGAGCACTGGCCTGCAAACCAAAGGGTTGCTGGTTTGATTCCCAGTCAGGGCGCATGTGTGGGTTGCGGGCCAGGTCCCCAGTAGGGACATGGAAGAGGCAACTGCACACTGATGTTTCCCTCTCTTTCTCCCTCCCTCCCTTCCTCTCTCTCTCAAACTACATAAAAATCTCAAAAAAAAAAAAAAGAAGAAGAATGAAGTTGGAGGAAGCACGCTACTTAATATCAAACTACACTATAAGGCCATAGTAATCAAAACAGATAGCTACTGGCATAAAAACGGACACATAGAGTTTATGCCCATTTCGCAGGGCTTCCAACAGCAAAATGTTGGGACAGAGCATTCGGAGATTCACAACCTCTGTGGTCCGTAGGAACCACTGTGAGCAAGGTCCAGGGAAGAATTTGCCGTTTTTGGTGGAAAACAAGTGGTGGTTACTAGCTATGATGACTTTGTATTTTGGACCTGGATTTGCTGTACCTTTCCTTATTATAAGACACCAACTGCTTAAAAAATAAGGATGTTTTAGTTAATCCATAAAACAGATATGAAGAAGAGCATTTTAAGAGGTGCAGTCTCTTTGAAAAAATAGATCAAACTGTTGAACTCGACATACTAGATGTGTTTGTAAATAAACTTAATGGCATGAATCCGTAATGCCTCTTCTCTGAAAAACAAAATGTGATAATTGGGGAAAAAAAAACAAAACAAAAGAGACACATAATTCAATGGAACAGAATAGAGAGCTCAGAAATAAAACCACACCTTCATAACCAATTAATATTTGATAGAGGAAGCAAGCACATACAATGGGCTAAAGATAGGTTATTCAATAAATGGTATTGGAAAAACTGGACAAATTACATGCAGAAAAATGAAACTAGACTACCTTCTTACACCACACACAAGAATAAATTCAAAATGGATTAAAGATTTAAATGTTTAGATCCAAAACCATAAAAATCATAGAAAAAAAACATAGACGGCAAAATCTTGGACATTGCTCTAGCAATATTTTTTTCTGATACATCTCCCTAGGCAACAGAAACAAAAGAAAAAATAAACAAATGACATTACATCAAACTAAAAAGATTTTGCACAGCAAAGGAAACCATCAACAAAATAAAAAGATAACCCACAGAATGGAAGGACATATTTGCCGATATATCCGATAAAGTGTTAATACCCCAAATTTATAAAGAATTATAAATTCTTATAAATTTATAAGACTTTTGGACTTATAAAACTCAAGTCCAAAAAAAACCCCAAACAGTCCAATTAAAAAGTGGGCAAAGGACCTGAATAGAAACTTCTCCAAAGAAGATGTGCAGATGGCCAATAGACATATGAAAAGATGCTCAATGTCACTAATCATCAGTGAAATGCAAATTAAAACCACTATGAGCCCTGGCTGGTGTAGCTCAGTGGATTGAGCTCAGGCTGTGAACCAAAGGGTTGCTGGTTCATTTGCCAGTCAGGGCACATGCCTGGGTTGCAGGCCAGGTCCCCAGTGGAGGCCACATAAGAGGCAACCACACATTGATGTTTCTCTCCCTCTCTTTCTTGCTCCGTTCCCCTCTCTCTAAAAACAAATAAATAAAAATTTTAAAAAACCCACTATGAGCTATCATCTCACACTTGTCAGAATGGCTATCATCAATAAATCAACAAACAACAGACTCACAGTCAAGTAGGCGGCACAGGTAAACATGGCTCACCTACTTGCACATCACAGTAAAAATACAAACAACAAAATAATGTCACCCAGAATTGTCAGAAAATCAAGCTGTATGGAAGGCTGACAACCAAGAAATTAGAGAAGTCACATTCATTCAGACGGGGACAGGGGAGCAGAGATGTAGAACAATCCCATACCCATGTGTGGTAGATAAAAATAGGGAAGAATATCCCAGGAGTGAGGGATCTTAGACTCATACCGGACTACCCAGCCCAGGGTTCCAATGCCAAGAAGGTAAGTCCCCATAACTTCTGGCTGCTATCCCACCAGTGGGGGTGGGATAGCAGAAGAAACTATGGGATTCTCAGGCATCCCCTCTTAAAGGGCCTGCAACGGACTTTGGCAGACTCACTCCCTCTAAGCTATATGACCAGGGCAGCAACTGGAAGGACACCAGTGGTATATAGGAAGAAACTAAAGTGTCTGGCAACAGAGCAAGTGCTGGGGTACAACTTCCTCTTGGACAAAACTCCAGAGGCCAGGTAGTGGCCAATGAGCCACAGAGCAGCCTCACCATATCTGAGACTCCATCAACCCAGTTCACAGGGGTTGCCCTAGCCTGGTGATTACCTAAGGCTTCACCACATCCAATTTAGTGGTGCACTTTTTAATATTAGGCCATGCTACTAAGACAGGGTGTTAAAGCATCTCTACCTAATACATGGAAACACAAACAGGGAGGCTGCCAAAATGAGGAGAAAAAGAAATAGGATCCAAATGAAAAAACAGAAAACTCCACAAAAAAAACTAAACAAAATGGAGATAAGCAATCTATTAGATGCAGAGTTCAAAACACTGGTTATTAGGATGCTCAAGGAACTCATTGGGTACTTCAACAGCATAAAAACAACCCAGGCAGAAATAAAGGTTATACTAAATGAAATAGAGAAAAAATTTAATTAATTTTTTCATAAGATAAACAGGGAATCAACAGTGGGGTGGATGAAGCCGGGAGTCAAATCAATGACTTGGAACATAAGGAGGGTAAAAAAATTTAATCAGAAAACAGCAAGAAGAAAAAAGAACCCCCCAAAAGAAAAAAATCTACAATACGGTAAGGTGCCTCTTGCGACAACTTCAAGCATTCTAACATTCACATCATAGGGGTGCCAGAAGGAGAAGAGAAAGAGCAAGAAACTGAAAACTTATTTGAAAAAATAATGAAAGAAAACTTCCTTAATTTGGTGAAGGAAATTGACATACAAGTCCAGGAAGCACATAGAGTCCCAAACAAGGTGGATGCAAAGAGTACCACACCAAGACACATCATAATTAAGATCCCACAGGTTAAAAAGAGAGAGAGAATCTTAAAAGCAGCAAGAGAAAAGCAGAGAGTTACCTATAAGGGAGTTCCCATAAGACTGTCAGCTGATTTCTCAAAAGAAACTTTGCAGGCTAGAAGGGACTGGCAAGAAGTATTCAAAGTCACGAAAAGCAGGGACCTGTAACCTATATTACTTTATCCAGCAAAGCTATCATTTAGAATCAAAGGGCAGATATAGTGCTTCCCAGACAAGGTAAAGCTAAAGGAGTTCATCATCACCAAGCCATTATTGCATGAAACATTAAAGGGACTTATTTAAGAAAAAGATGACCAAAACTATGAACATTAAAATTGTGATAAACTCACAACTATCAACAATTGAAGCCAAAAACAAACTAAGCAAAGAAACAGAAATAAAACAGAATCATAAATGTGGAGCTCATTTGGATGGTTACCCATTGGGAGGGGGAAGGGGGAGAAGGGGGAAAATATGCAGGGATTAAGAGGTACAAATTGGTAGGTATAGAATAGGCAGGGGGATGTTAAGAACAGTATAGAAAATGGAGTAGCCAAAGAACTTACATGCATGATCCATGGACATTAACTAAGGTGTGGGATTGCTGGTAAGAATGGGGGGTACTAGGTGGAGGGGGCAAAGAGGGAAAATTGGGACAACTGTTATAGCATAATCAAAAAATACATTTTTTTAAAAAACAAATAACAAGTGCTGGCCAGGTTGTGGAGAAAGGGGGAACCCTTTTGCACTGTTGGTTGGAAGGCAGATTGGTATAGTCACTATGGAAAGTAGTATGAAGATACTGCAAAAAACGAAAAATGAACCCGCCTTTTGACCCAGTGATCCTACTTCTGGGAACATATAAGAAGGAACCCAAAACACTAATTTGAAAGAACATAAGCACCCCTATGTTCATTGCAGCACTGTTTATAATAGCCAAGATATGGAAGCAGCCCAAGTGTCCATCAGTAGATGAGTGGATAAAACAACTGTGGGACATTTAAACAAAGAAATACTACTCAGCTGTTAAAAAAAAAAAAGAACATTTTATCCATTGTGACAGTATGGATGGACCTGGAGAACATTATATTAAGTGTAGTAAGACAAATACCTTATGATTTCACTCGTATGTGGAATCTAGTGAACAAACTGAACTAACAAGCAAAGTAGAAATAGACTCATAGAGTAAAAGAGCAGGGTGACAGCTAAGCGGGGAGAGGTTAAAGGGTTAAGTGATTGAACAAAAAGGAAAAAGGACTCATGGACATGGACAACAGTGGGGTGATTGTGGGGGGGGGGCGGTAAAAGGGGACTGAATGGTAATATAAAAAGTGTAATAAAAAATTTTAAAAAAGAAAGAGAGAAAAGACTGGCTATGTTAGCCAACAACTCAATTGCACAGATGTTTCAATGTGTACTTCCTATTTTGTCACATACAATATAAAATGGCATGTATTCAAAGGTTGAGATTAAATTAATAATTTTTACTGCTTTATTAAAGATATTAAAGTGAAACTGGCTTTATGCCCCAACTGGGTAGATCAGTTGGTTAGAGCATTGTCCCCAACCCATGGCTGGGGGTTCAATCCCTGGTCAGGGCACATACAAGAACCAACCAATGAATGAACCGATAAGTGGAACACAAATCAATGTCAGTGTCTCTCTCTCTCTCCCCCCCGTCTTTCCTTCTTCTCCATTCTTCTCTCTCAAATCAATTAAAATTTTTAATAAAATACAAAATAAAGTATTAAAATAAAGTGAAACTAGCTTTATAATTTTTTAAATCTATTACTAAAAGGGCATATCAATGAAGAATGCAATGGCTAGTAGTGCAATTTGGTGCCACTGATTTGATTCATGCCAAGATGCCAACATTTTACCCACCACTGCTTTTGCACTCAATGGAGGGAAAGGGCAAATGATGTTTCAGTATTATTACAAAAATAGTTTTGACCTAGCAGAACCTCTGAAAAGGTGTCAGAGATACCTAGGGGTCTAAGGGTTATATTTTGGGAACTAATCAAGTTTCATGTTCTGGGACTGAGGGAGTGATCAGCTTCTCCAGAAGCATATGCCCATCTCATTCCTAAACAAAACAGGGATTCTGGTGGCAAGAAGTTGAGGGAGACTGCCTGTTCACTAGGCAAACAAGAGTGTCTTGGTTTGGGTGAAGGAAAGAGAGACACAGAGATAGGGAGAATTATTAGCAAGAGTGAAGTAGGAAAGAGCACTCCGAAAATCCATTCACTAAGGATCTTATAAATAAGGGATGTTTATGAGTTAGGGATAAATTTCAGCAACTGGAATTAGTATTTTAAAAATTTGGGAGAATGAAGGGCTCAGTTAAATGTTTAGAAAATAGACAAATTAATGATGGACATTAACAACTGAAAAAATTGACCCTTACCCTTGAATGAGGGGAGGGGAAACCCGTGCCTGTTTGTTTTCACACTGCCAAGGATAAGACTTCTTTAAAATTATAACATGGTAGTTCAGAAATTATACATGCCATTATCTAAAAGAATTTTTAAATGGGTCTTTAATTAGACAGGAGTCATCATTTCCTACAGAAATCTTCCTTGTCTTCACTATGTGTGCTAGAGGTGTAGAGCTACAGCTCCAAAAGTGGTGTGAAGGGTGTTGTGCAGTGTGGATTAGCTCCTGATCATGGACAC